TCGGTCGACCGGAGGAAATTTCGGTCGACCGGATTACTGTAGCAGTGCGCAGCTGTTTTGTAAAATCAATTTAAAATAGTAAATGAACTCCAAAAATTATGAAATTTTGTGGGAATGTTCTAGACATGTAGATTAACATGTCAGAGAAAGAATTTCTGAAAAATCTTTTCCCCGTTGAGATAAATAAATGTTTGAACACAAAAATACAGTTTCTGAAAATCTGCTGTGATACACGATTTTGTAAAATCAAGTAGGCACAGTAAATCAACTCCAAAAGTAGTAAAATTTTGAGGGAAGTTTCTAAACATGTAGGTAAACATGTCAGAGAAAGAATTTTTCAAATATCACTTCTAATTTGTGAAAAATCATCAGTTTTGTAAAACATGCACGAACATGTGCACGAACGAAAACGTGAATTTGTAAATTCCTTTAAACATAACAAATCAATTCCAAACTTGATGAAACTTTGAGAAATGTTTGCAAATGATATTTTGAACATGTTACAAAAAGAATTTTCCAATTTGCATTTCTCAATTGTGAAATCTCATTATTTTGCAAAAGTATTCAAAACATGAAAAACCCAAAACCATGCATGTATGTATATAACTATATATATACATAGAAACCAAATACGTGTGTGTATATGATATTGAGCTTAAGGTACTTAACACACATAATATAAAACCTAATCTAAGTTACCCAAGCTTGATCTTGATCTTCATTGTAGCTCAACTTGGTACACGTTGCGGATGAAGCTTGAACTTGATCTTTAACTTGAATTGTATAGGCTTCAATCCGACATTCCGCCAACCTCCTTTGGATATCATCGTTGAAGCGCAATCCATCCATCCTCCAACTATGTTGTTTGTCTACAACAAATACGAAAACACAAATACTAGACAAACAACATTAGTGATAAATTGTTTGTTAATTATCATCAAAACAAGAAGGCCAACATCATCGACTCAGGAGCCTCTTTCCACGCTACTGCTAACAAGAAGCTTCTTTAGAATTATGTAACAGGGGACTTTGGAAAAGTGTATTTGGGGAATAACGAGCCTTGTAATATTGTTGAAAAGGATGAAGTGCAGATTCAGATGAAGAGCTCTAAGTGGACCTTGAAGAACGTGAGACACGTGCCGAAGCAGAAGAGGAATCTTGTTTCGGTGGGACAACTTGGAGCAGAAGGCTATGTTTTGACATTCACAGGGGATTCGTAGAGAATCTCCAACGGTACGATGATAGTTGCTCGAGGCAACAAACTAGGAACTCTCTATCTCACCTTACATGTGAGTGACACCCTCGCAATTGCAGCTGGCAAAGAGAGTACCGATCTGTGGCACAACAGGCTAGAGCACATGAGCGAGAAACGGATGAAGATCTTATATTCACAGGGAAAACTAACCGGGATCGACTCCGTGGAAGTCGGGGTTTGTGAAGAATGTATCTTTGAGAAGCAGGAGAGGGTTAGTTTCCAGAAGGGTGGAAGGCCACCTAAGACTCAGAAGCTAGAGTTGATTTATACAGATCTATGGGGTCCAACCAGTGTGTCTTTTTTTGGCAGTTCGAGATACTATGTCACATTTATCGACGATCACTCGAGGAAGGTGTGGGTCTACTTTATGAAGCATAAGTCAGAGGAGTTCGGAGTTTTCAAGAAGTGGAAGGTCATGGTGGAGAACGAGACAGATCTGAAGGTGAAGTGTCTGAGATCAGACAATGGTAGAGAATACGAGCTAGAGGAGTTCAAGAGGTTCTGTGCTACAAATGATATTCGTTTAGAGAGGACTACTCCAGAGATGTCGTAGCAGAATGACATTACAGAGAGGATGAACAGAACCTTGACGAAGCATGCTAGGAGCATGCGATTACATGCAGGTCTGCCTAATATTTTGGGCAGATGCAGTGCATACGGTAGCTTACCTTATTAATCACGGGCCATCAGTTCCATTAGATTTTGGGATTCCAGAGGAGGTTTGGAATGAAAAGAAGATAAATCTCTCACACTTGTGGGTATTTGGTTGTATGGCTTATGTTCATATCAGCGACCACGTCAGGGATAAGCTAGAGGCTAAGTCACAGAAGTGCACATTCATTGAATACGGCATTGATGAGTTCGTGTATTATCTTTGGGATGAGAAGAACATGAAGATCATCAGAAGCAGGGACGTGATATTCAATGAGGGGGTGATGTACAATAATAGGGAAAATGCTAAGGATAGCCAAAGCAGTGGGAGCAGCAATTCGGATGCAGGTGGATCCGAGTACATAGATTTAGAGGAATTTCTAGATAGGGGTGATGATGTTTGTTCTGACCAAAGAACGGAGGATGCTCCAGGTGCAGAAACAACTACCCAGAGCGTGGAGCTTAGGAGGTCATCCAGGGTACCCAAACTGAATCCTAGATATCTCTTATCTCTTGATTACTTATTGTTGACAGATAGCGGTGAACGTGAGTGTTATGAAGAGGCAATGTAAGTGAGTGAATATCAGCAGTGAGAGCATGTGATGCAGGAGGAGATGAATTCTCTACTCACTAATGAGACATGGGAGTTAGCCCAGCTACCTACACAGAAGAAGGCCTTACATAACAGATGAGTCTACCGGGTCAAGCAAGAGAGTGATGGAAGTAAGAGATTCAATGCCAGATTAGTAGTGAAGGGGTTTCAACAGCGGGAAGGAGTGGACTACACGGAGATATTTTCCCCTGTTGTGAAGCTCACAACCATCAGAGTGGTGTTGAGTTTGGTAACTGCATAAGACCTCTTTCTTGAGCAGTTAGATATGAAGACTGCATTTCTTCATGGTGACTTGGATAAAGAAATCTACATGAAGCAACTTGTTGGCTTCATTAAAGAAAGAAAGGAAGAGATAGTGTGCAAGCTCAAGAAGAGCTTATATGGTTTGAAACAGGCTCCGAGACAGTGGTATAAAAAGTTTGATAACTTCATGCAAAACAATGGCTACAAAAGATGCAATTTGGATCATTGCTGTTATTTCAAGAGGTTCGAGTCCAGCTTTATTATATTGTTATTATATGTTGATGACATGTTTGTAGCAGGACCTTGTTTAGAAGATATAAATAGTTTAAAGAAGCAGCTAGCAAAGGAATTTGCAATGAATGATCTGGGTGCAACGAAACAGATTCTAGGGATGCGAATCAATAGGGATGAAGCTGAAAGGACGTTGAGATTGAATCAAGCTGAATACATTGAGAAGATACTTCAGAGGTTCAATATGCAGAATGCTAAAGTTGTTAGCACGCCCCTTGAAAGTCAGTTCAAGCTATCTGAGGATCAATCGCCTAAGACAGAAGCAGATAGAGAGCATATGAGTAGGGTGTCATATTCTTCGGCTATTGGAAGTCTTATGTACTGGATGGTTTGCACAAGACCGGACATCACCCATGCAGTGGGAGTTGTGAGCAGGTTTGCTAGCAATCCAGGGAAGCAGCATTGGGAGGACATGAAGTGGATATTGCGGTACTTGAGGGGAACAAAGAACAAACCACTATGTTTCAGGAGGAGGGAGTTGGTGCTGTAGGGATACATGGATACGAACTTCGCCGGTGATCATGATATGAGGCGAAGCACCACGGGGTATATTTATATCTTAGCGTGAACAGTAGTGAGTTGGGTCTCACGTCTGCAGAAGATTGTGACTTTATCTACAACCGAGGCTGAGTATGTCGCGGTGACCGAAGCAAGCAAGGAAATGATCTGGTTGAACGGGTGCTTGGAAGAATTGGATCTGAAGCAAGGAAGAGGTGTTCTTTATTGTGATAGCCAGAGCACTATACATCTTGTCAAGAATCCAGTATATCATGCCAGAACGAAGCACATCGACGTAAAATACCATTTTATACGCTCGCTAGTTAAAGACGAAAAGTTACACTTAATGAAGATTTTGGGGAGTCAAAATCTGGCGGACATGTTGATGAATGCAGTCACAATTGAGAAACTGGAGTTGTGCGTAACTTCAGTTGGCCTTCACGAGTAGAAGACAAAGGCGGAGCCACACTATGAGGATCGGCGAGATCGTCGGGATATTGTTGATTGAAGAAAGGATTTTTCCGGGGAGGAGAAGATTCATGCGAAGAAGGGGAGAGTTCGGGTGAACTCACTGATGGCACTTTAATCTCTAAGTGGGAGATTGTTAGTCTAAAGTGTAGACCCAAAGTTAAATCCGAAGCTGGAATCACGAAGAACACAGTCCAAAAAGTCCAAGAGAACTGTCAGTCAACCTGATGGTCGACCGTGAGTCAGCGGCGGTCGACCGCGAACGACCGCGAGTCAGCGGCGGTCGACCGCGAACGTGCACAGGAGTCAGGGAGAGGCTGGAGCTGAAGGCGGTCGACCGCGGCGGTCGATCGCGCCAACCCTGTAATGTTTTCTGCTCTCGGGTTTTGGTTCGGTCGACCGTCACGGTCGACCGTGATACTTGTGCGGTCGACCGCGACGCTGTTTGCCAGATTCCTTATAAGTTCAGGAAAACTGTTTGGGTTGGGTTTGATATAAATACCCAAACATTTTTAGGGTTTGTTAAGCATCAAAAAACCATCAAAAGAGAAAGCTTTTGATAGAGAGATCTCAGAGAGATAAAACCCTAGTTTGAGAGCTTGTATTTCTTCTTCAATCAATAAAAGAATTGTGTGGTGTGGCTCCGGAGAATGTAGGCACGTTGCCGAATCTCGTTAAATCTGTGTGTTCGTCTCCTTTATTTTTCTACAAGTTTTTATATTTATTTGTGGTGAATTTTTCTACTTTCCTACTTTCAAACACAAGGTCCGGAAGGGCAATGGTTTGATTTGATTGTTTTGAATCCCCAACATCTAGGATTTACTGGAAGTCCATTTATAAGCCCTGCCAGTTCCTTCTCACAGATCTCGTAAGTCATTGTTTAGTTATGCATATGAAAAGAATTGTCCATTATAACTTGCAGCAATTTATTGTTGTGATTTGCAATTCTTTGTGAGTAATGAGGATATCGTTTTATTGCAGGATGCTACTGGTATTGCATTCATCAATAAGAAAGTCACTGTCGTGTTTGTTTCAGGTGAGAACTTTTGTGAAGGCCTAACCTTTTCCTAATCTACTTTCAACTATTGTTATTTTGAGTTTTTCTTCATTAACTTGTTCTCTTTGCATCGGAGATTAGCTGTAGTTTCAGAATGATATGCGTTTATGTTGTTTGATCTATTGAAGAAACCATTATGTTGACTTTCTCTCTGAGCAGTAATGATTATGGAATGGTGAGTCTGTAAGGTTGTTCATGTGGTTTTTTCTTCTTTATTTAAATTGGGGTTCCTGTGGTTTTAACCATCCCTTCAGATTTCAGGATTTTTCATTATTTGTATACATGTCAGAATACTTTTTTCATTTAAACTCAGAACATGGTTACACTCATGCTTGTTGTTTTAGCAAATACTTTTCACGATTTATCATCAGTTTTCGCTGGACATATATTTACGTATTCAACGATATATCATTAATTTTGTTTAATATATTATCAAACTTCACATAATTCTAAAATATAATCAATTGGACCTTCAAACTGGAGACACTGGAGCGAGCAGCACCCGTTTTCGTATGAGGGATAGAGACGCTGCCGACGACGACGAGATGTAAGGTTTTATTAACGTAATGAATAATTTTTTATTTGTAATAGTACTTTACTTTTATTCATGTAGTGTACTCTATGTTATTCATCTCGTGTTATGGATGAACTTGATATTATTAGTGTATATGTTATAAATATTGAGATAATATAAATTTTTACTGAAACGGATATTGGCATAGATTGTTGAATGTGTATATTGGATTGGATTGTTGGATGTGTATTTTGAATTGGATTGTTGGATGTGTGTATTAGATATGAGTATTGATTATATTGGATTGGATGTGTATATTAAATATACAGGAATCATGTATTTATGTGTATATTGTGAATGCAATGTAATATACGGGGAATCACGTTTTAAAAGGTTTTTTTCGCCGGGAAAAGAGCAACCTAGATGGAAATTCCGTTAGGTTGCTACAATAGTAACCTAGATGGAACTGTAGCAACATAGCTGGAATTTTCGTCTGGGTTGCTACAGTAGCCGTCTAGTTTGCTACAATAGTAACCTAGATGGTTACTCTAGCAACCTAGACGAGAATTTCGTCTAGGTTGCTACAGTAGCTACCTAGACGGAATTTCAAATTCTGTCTAGGTTGTATTCCGTCTAGTTTGGTCAATCTAGACAAAATTTCATCTAGTTTGACTCAAACTAGACGGGATTATCCTAGACGGATCAACCTAGACGGTTTACCGTCTAGGTTGATCAACCTATACGGGATTCCAAGCAACCTAGACAGAATTTTTCATTTAGGTTGCGCGTTTTTCTACTAATGCTTCTTGCGTGTATCTAGCAACACACCCTTGTTTCATACTACTCCAAGAAACAACTCCTCCTCCAAAGATGAACAAGTGTCCCGAAGTGGACTTTCCATCATCTTTATCACCTCCGAAATCAGCATTGGAGTAACCGAGAAGTTCAACCGAATCGGTTTGATAAACTAATCTATGAGTCAATGTACCTCTGATATACTTCATAATCCTTTTAACAGCTTCCTAATGTGTTGGTCCTGGATTATTTTGATATCGACTAACTAGACTTACATCATAAGCTATATCAGGTCTGGTGCACAACATTGTATACATCAAGCTTCCAATTGCTTGAGCACAAGGAACATCTAATGGCTTTTGCCCCTCTCCAGGGCTTTGCTCTTTACATGATCTATTTCTCATGATCAACAGTGTTGGTGCCGAATTGCAATTCTCCATTCCAAACCTTTTAAGAGCTGATCTTAAATATTTTTTTATTACAGCCCCGCT